GTAAGAACCTCACTTCTTCAGATGACTTGCATCTGAAGAAGTGAGGTTCTTACCCACGAAAGCTTATGCTCCCAATATTTCTGTTAGTCTTAAAGGTGCCACAGGACCCTCTGTTGCTTTGTTCTGTCTGTTATTACTTGAAACCACTTAAATCCTACTTTTTATACTTAATAAAATCACTTTTGTTTATTAGTAAACCCAGAGTAAGTGATTAATACCTAGAGGAGCAAACAGCTGTGCATATCTCTCTATCAGTGTTATAGAGGGTGGACAATTTATGAGTTTAGCCTGCGTAAGCTTTGTACAGAGTAAAATGGATTTATTTGGGGTTTGGATCCCATTGGGAACTGTGTGCTGGAGATAGGTAACCTGCAGAGCTGTTTTCACTTAAAGCCTGCAGCTTTGGGGATGTGGACCAGACCTGGGTCTGCGTTGCAGCAGGCTAGCATGTCTGGCTCAACAAGACAGGGTTCTGAAGTCCCAGGCTGTCAGGGAAAACGGGCTCAGAGGTAATCTCAGCACATCAGGTGACAGTCCCAAGGGGGTCTCTGTGACCGAACCCGTCACACTATGTAACTCCAGCTACGTGAATAACAAAGCTGGAGTTGACATACCTTAGGTCAAGTTACCCTGGGGTCTACACCGTGGGGGGTTGACGGGAGAAACTCTCCCGTCGACTTACCTTACTCTTCTCTTTGGGGGTAGAGTACAGAGGTCAATGGGAGAGTGATCTGCTGTCGATCTGACAGGTCTTCACTAGACCCGCTAAATCGACCACCAGTGGATCGATCTCAGAGCATCGATCCCAGCTGTAGTGTAGACCTGCCCTAAGGGTGTGTTAGGGCTGTATAATCAAATCCTGAGTTTGTCATAAAAAGAAATCTTAAAACACATGCATATAATTTATTTCATGGAAATATATTTGTCTTACTTTTAAATGATATATCAGCTGTCAATTTCAGAACTTTCCAGACTTGCCTCTTATATGAAAATACTTTATTAAATCTTTCGGAAGAGAATACCTTACAAGTATGATGTACTTTACATTTACACTGAATATATATAAAATCAATAGTTTTAGGATTCTGTGTTCCCAGTGGTTTTAAAGAATAAAGTATTACAAAAAAATGCCTAGATGCATGAATGTGTGTCTATCTGTGTGAGTGCATGCATGTGCCAGTCTCCCACTGAATGAGTTCATTTAGTAAACACAATATATTGATAATCAAATGCTTGGTTATTCAATTGTACAATAGCCTAAATTTTCAAAAGTGACTACTGATTTTGGGTGCTTCAAGTTTTGGGTGCCCAATCTAAGACATTTTATATCATCTTGCATATGAGACATCTTACATCATCCTGCATAAATGTGCATGAGTAACTTTACAGATGTAGGTAGTGTGGTTGGTGGAAAAAATAAAGGAGGGTTGATGTTCTGAGGGTACGTGCTTCAGCACTTTTTGATATCAAGGCCCTTTAAGGTGTCTCAGGTTGGGCACCTAAAAGTTGAAACATCAAAATTACTAGTTTCTATTGGTAATTTCTTTCATTTTCACTGGGTTTCATGAAGCTCTTGACTACAGAACATATTGGGCTAATTCTAGCTTTTAAACAGCACAGTCATTTTATTACAGCAAAAAAAAATTCCATTTATTCCCCCCACCCCCCAAACAACACCACTTATATGTGTATGCAGGATCAGGTCCTAGGACAAGAAGTTTGCATGCAGTTAATTTTTATTTTTTATGCCTTTTCTAACATGTCCTGGGCAGAGGTTAAGTTAAGCAGAAAACATTTTCCAAGGCTGGAAAAATAATGGAGATTCTATTGACCACAGAGATATAGTAAGTGTAAAAAGTGTATTTTATTATTTTCTTTTCTTTGGGTCAGAGCCTATATTAAAAAAAGGAAAAGAAAAAAAGAAAAAGAAGATGAAAAACAGTAATGACCACTGATTAAGTTGACAGTGAAGTTAGAAAGGAGAACTATATATAGTTCACACCATGTCTTCAACTATTGCATTATCATTCCTATTTATACATTTTTGTCACTGATACTAGGATTTCAGAGCCAAATAGCAGCAGAATGTTTATCTCATTTATTGTGTAATATATAACTAGCATGATTCTGAATTTACAAGTTAAATGAAGGAACAGACACAGTTCATCGGTGCTGCTTTCCTGATCCTCCTCTTTCACTCCTTTTCAAAAGGCAGCTTTATTCATAGAAAATTACACACAATGGACCCAATTCTTACTCTTCTATTCTGGCATTACTCACACTGAGTTACTCACATTGACTTTAACGGAACTACCTGTGTAAAGAAAGAGTTTGCAGGATTGGGCTAACTATTTCCATAGTAAAATCATTCCTTAGCATTATTATTTATAGATTTATTATTTGGTTACTTTACTATCTATAGTGAGCCAAAAATGTACAGTTAACTGTATATGCACATAGAAGACAAGCCTCCTGTCTTAAGGCGTTTGCTATCAATTCGCTGTGAAAACAAAACCGTGTATTTGAAATACCAACTTTCAGTCTGAAGAGAGAGTTAATGGCAGGGAAATAATTGTGTTATAAGAGAAATTGCCTGTTGCAAAAAAGCAGAAGATACTAAATGCCACTCCTTTAATCACAGCAGTGCATGTTTTAAAAAAAGACGAAACAAAGACAAGTACTTACATTTCTAGGTTTAGTCTATGAGGCTCTTTACTGTGTGGCTGTCCCCTTTATAGACTTTATCTACCCACTGATGCTTTGCTCTTGTTTGACAGGCTGGTTAATCTACAAGGCTGGGTGGAATGTGTGGTCTTGCATTTGCTGTTCTTTTATGTTTTCTAGAGGCCAACAGCTCAGGCTGTTTCTATGACAACCAGAAGAGCAGCCGAGGCCTACCAATTTCATTAATAACACAGCAGGATAAGTACCTGTCTTTATTAGCTCTGTCCATACTCCTGATTGGTAGCATTATACTTATCTTGAAAGTGTGTCCCACACACAAGAAACGTGTCATACTATGGTTGTAATATATGAAAGCAAACACAGAGCCCTGAACTTTTATTGCGGCAGGTTAACAAAACAGACGTTGTGCATCAGACATGCTCTCAGCGCACAAATAGTTTACTTTTAAATATTTAGGACCAAGTTAAAACTGCCCCAGAGCAGCTGCCCTGGAAGGATGGCGAGAAAGGGCTTACTGAATCCTTCCTGCCGCATACAATCTGCTAGTGCTGGGACAGCAGATCTGAGGGGAGTGCACATGAAAGCTTTAGTACAGGTAGGGCACAGCTTCCAAGGGTGCTTCTCTAGCGCCATTGTGCTTAACCTGGGTGGAAATTCCATAAGCTCCATCAGAATCCTTCTGCTGCTCTCTGCTGGCTTGAACTAGGCTCGGTTGGTTTAAAGTGGAAAGCCAGTAGCTCCAGGAATGCTAGTACGCAAAACCCGTTGCTCCTTTCCAAAACCAATTTGGCCAGCTGGAACTGGTCAGAACAAACTGCAGATTTTCAAATGGAATTTCCCCTAAGGTACTCAAGCATAATGCCTCTGTCAACCACTTCTCAGGTGCTGCAGCTGTTCCCACCTGACCTGGTGTTCCAAGTAGCAATACAGACCTATGTCACATGGTCAGTGTCATTGTTATCCACCTAGGACCCAAACCTGCAAACATATATTATCAAAGTGTAGTGCTCACCACCTGGAGTTGTCAATGGGACTAGTAGCAAGGGTTTGAAGGACCATACACATATCAGCAGAGCTCTCGGTCACAAGGATGCATAGTTAGAGGAATCCCCGTAAATCCTGGGACAACAGAGCAAGAGGCAAAAATTCTCAGGCAGGACATTAGCATGGAATAAATAGCAGAGGTATTAGGATCCAAGGGAAAAGATTTAAAAATAAAGGTCTAACCTTTCAATGCTTATTTAGGCAAAACTCTTTTGTAAATTGATTGGAGTGTTACCTGAGTAAGGTTAGTGATATCTGAGTCAGCCAGGGACAGGTGTGGTACTAAGTTCTCCATTTTGATCAGTATTGCTAATGGGAGTTGTGCAAGTAAAATTAATACAAATGAATTAATAGAGATTCATACTGCACAGAGGAGAGCCACAGTTCAGCTGGAAGGGGAGAATTTTGTCTGTGGATTTAAGAGTTGAGTTTGAGTGGTTTTTTGCTCTGGGAAATTCAGAACTATCTTGAATTTAACAATTTGCCTTTTGATTTCTGCATCTAAGAATTCCACTATGAAGTCTGAATCATCAAATTGGTAACTTTATTTCAGAAACCATGACTTTAAAAAAGAAATTTGCTACAATAGGCTTGCTACAGCACAACGTTTGTAGTTTATCTCAGACAAATGTGAAGAGCATATATGAAGAGTTTACTACAATATTTTTTTCAATTTAATGTTACATGATGGGTTAAATTCTGCCCCTGAATTACAAATAAGTCAGTGATGAATTTGGCCCAATATGTATAATTGTTAATACACCTCCAATCTCCTTATTCTCCTGACTGCTCACTCCACCATCACACTTTTGAGAGCCTATCTGTTCTCTTTGCTAATCTTTCCAGTTCAGGTTTGTTTTCTCACTGATACCACTCATCTATTTAGAATTCCCATCTTCACTCCCCTTTTCTGAAACACTTATTATTTATCAATTATGTTATAATAATGCTTAGAGGCCTCACTCACCATGCCAGGTGCTGTGCAAACAAACAGGAAGTGACAATCCATGCCCTGAAGAGCCTAGCATTTCTTCTTTTACATTACAAGTGGCCCCAATAGCAGTATGTGGTCAGGGCCGGCTCCAGGCACCAGCGTAGCAAGCAGGTGCCTGGGGCAGCCAATGAAGAGGGGGGTGGCACGTCCGGCCATTTGGCGGCAATTCAGCGGCGGGGCCGTCACTCCCTCTTGGAGCGAAGGACCAGCCGCCGAATTGCCACCGTAGAATGAAGTGGCGGTAGAGCTGTCGCCGATCGCGATCGCAACTTTTTTGTTTTTTTTTGCTGCTTGGGTCAGCAAAAATGCTAGAGCCGGCCCTGTATATGGTACTGTGCCAATGAAGGAATCTCTGGGCCTATTCCTGCCATTAACTTCAATTGAAGCAGGATAAGGCGGGGGGAGGCGTAGGGTGTAAAAATTGCTACGCCCATCATGCCACCTAATGGCTTTGGCCAGTGAAATATGGCAATGGGCTGTAAACAAAGCTGTAAGTATCATTAAAAGAAAGCAACAGCCTTTACTTGTAAGCTAAAAGTTTTTCTATCTATTGACTTCAATGAGCTTTAGATCAGGCCCTCTGGGCTCAATTGTGGCATTTAGTTCCACGCCATGGAAAGCATCAGGTGACATTCTGTCACAGAGAAGCACAATGCCTCCAGAGCTCCAAAGAGCAATTCTCAACACTCATTCAGGAAATGCAGCATACTTTCAGCGTACGCCTTCCCTGTGGCTGGTCAGCTCTAGGTGCTACCATGTGCAGGGATGGAGAGCAATGGTTTTGCCTACTCTTTGCCCCCTTTTCACCAGAAGCCATTGAGTTCTTCCCAGCATGCAGCTGTACAGGTGGGTCCACAATGTGGTCCTGTGTTTTTGGATAGGTTTCCTTGGAGTGGGGTTCGAATGGTTGTATATTTGATTAATTTTCCTCAGCTAGTGTCAAGATCAGCTCAGATAGGTTTCAGACTGGCTATGAAAAACTTGTAGCAAAATGTTTTCCCTAGTTTCTTAGTGCAGATTCACTGATCAGGTTTGCTGGCAAACCTGAGCTAAATTTTACATGAAGAAGGAGTAATTTATTGTAACGGTTGGAAACCAGACAAAGTTCAATAGCTGGACATGTTTTCTGCGCAAAGCCAGGCAAAAATGGAATTATTTGGCTTAGTTTTGTTTGGAGATTTGAACCCTTCAAAATGAAACCAAAAACATATTTTGTATGAAAACCTGTGAACTGAAAGAACCATTTACACAGCCTTCCTTCAGATTTGAAATTAGCTATATGGCGTCATAGGTCCATGGGGTTCCTATGAGCAATACATAACACAAAAAGGTAAATGGAGGGACTTGATATTCATCAACCAGTCCTTTTCCTAATCATCTCCATGTAAATAGATACACTATACTGAGACCTAAACATGCATCAAACAGCCTCACATAAATGGACAATGGCTGCTAATTTTACTAACCCCACCTAGCAAAGTATCATGAAGATGACGTGGCTTCTATTCTTATCTTTTCTTTGAAATTAGAGCCTGAAGGTTACATTTTCTTAGTGAAGATCTCACTAAAAACTCTCACTCTGGCTTCACATAGAGCATTCTGATCTGCCTGCCTTGGCAAACCAGAAACTCTAAGGCTATGTCTACACTGCAATTAAAAACCCATGGCTGGCTCATGCCAGCTGTCTGAGGCTTGCAGGGCTCAGGCTAAGGGGCTGTTTAATTGTAATGTAGACATTTGGGCTCGGGCTGGACCCGGTGCTCTAGGACCCTGTGAGGGGGGAGGGTTCCAGGACTCAGACTGCAGCCTGAGCCCAAAAGTCTACACTACAATTAAACAGCTGCTTAGCCCAAGCCCCATGAGCCCAAGTTAGCTCGCATGATCCAGCCATGGGTGTCTAACTACACTATAGACATATCCTAAGACTGGTGCTGGACTTAATAGAGTCAATACAGTCTAGAATGATACACACAGTCATATGAATTTCAGGTGAATGTTTCCTCTGACTTAAACTTTGGTAATAAAATAAAGGGCATAACCATGCAGAAACCTGCACTAGAAGTCACTCTGAAGGTCTGACTTTAATCCCACACTTCGGTTGTATCTAGAATTCTGTCTCCATTGTGTCTGTGTTACAGCACATACAGCATTTTCACTCCGATATACCAGGCATCTCTTACAACTTACTGCATTCCTGTCATGAAGTAAGGACAAAATTTCAATTTCCCCACTTGTTTGGGTTTAAAACAGACCCTTAACTTTACTTTAAGGCAGTACTTTCCAAGGGGAGAGTAAATCTCTAGCTGTTATGACTGCCAACAAAACATAAAATGTGCCTTGAGTGTAACCAATTAGAAAGTGTCTGCCTGAGTTAGCAGAGAGCCTGAAACAATAGCTCTGAACTGCTTATTCATTTTAATAGGTACTAGCTCAAATGCCAATAATAACTCTTTAAATGTTCATTGCTCAAAGCATGGATGAAAGGAGATGAATGATCACATTATGAAGACATGCATTAGCAAGTTCCTAGGTAATGGGCCATGACTGGTTTTATTTTCGTGAAGGGGAGCTAAGTTTTCTACAGTTTGGGAAGCAATGACTTAAGGGATGTTGTCAAAGCTGATGGGCCTAGAACTATCCCTGTATCAATAATGATTTTCTTTTTTATCCTGAAAAATCTATCAGCTCTCCAAAATGAGAGCTGCAACAATGCAAGCTGTGACTAAACCTCCATTGCCAGGTTGGAAGCAGGACTGAAGAAATCCAACATCTGCTGATTGGAAAATTTCTTATGCTCAAGAGCAGGGAAAAGTCTGGAGGTAGAGTGGAACCAAGCATTTTGGCATCAGGGCCGGCTTCAGGTTTTCTGCTGCCCCAAGCGGCGAAAAAAAAAAAGCCGATTGTCGGCACTTCGGCAGCAGCTCAATCGCGCCGCTCCATTCTTCAGCGGCGGGTCCTTCACTCCCTCTCTTCCTCTTCGGCGGCAGCTCAAATAGGAGAGAGGTATTGAGGGACTCGCTGCCGAATTCCCGCCGAAAACCCGGACGGGCCACCCCAAAAGCGGACAGAATGCCGCCCCTTTGTATTGGCCACCCCAAGCACCTGCTTCCTTAGCTGGTGCCTGGAGCCGGCCCTGTTTTGCATAGAGACAGAGGGTCTCCTATGCA